CCTGGAAACTTTAAAGTTGAGCGGGCATGACTAATCACGGCTCCCCAGCCTTTCTCGACAGTTAAACCGCAAACAGACTAGTGTGTGGGGCCCAAAATTTAAGCTTCAATGTTGTTGTTTTCAGCCGCGAGCTTCCACATAAATTGGGATCCCCAGATATAAAACGGGCTTGGAGTACACTATGAATGCGCTGTTGGTCTGAAATAGTAGACTATCAGTACGCTTGGGTTCAATTCATCGCGCGAACTAACTATATAGTGATGGACTCTGAGGTTTTGAGATGCCATCAACGGAACTTTCTTTGATATCCGTTTGGATCGAATCAGGGCGTTGAACGTTTTAGGGGCTAGGACAACCTGACTTTGTTCCTTTGTCCATTTACCTCAACGCTCAATTGGGTGTTGTCCACGTCACAGTTTTCTTTCATATTGCCAGGAAACATATCGTGCTCGAGAAATACCCAGAAGAGGAGGCTGACCGGGGCTCTGATATAGAACAAAAATTCAAATGTCGTTCCGAAGTTGGAAGGCTGTAATTACTGGAGTATATATGCGGTGACCTACGCAGCCAACGTACGCGGGAGGGGAGAGTTGTAAATGACAGGGAAGACTTGGGCGGTATATATAATGGTTTTTTTCTGATACAATACCTGGAAAGAGGAATACACTTAAAATGCTTCCTCTGTAGCGTGTCTGTAGGAAAAATTTCTGTGAGTTTGGTTTGGTGCCCACGATGAAACTATACAGATATGTGCTGAAAAGTTCAGCTCGGCACTAAACAATCCTCCTACTTGTGTGAGGGCGCTTGTAAATGCCTTGGTATGGGTGTGTTATGGGCCAACCTTCTCATCAAATACATGCAGACAGTTGAGGTTGAATGTTCCTAGATGCGAGGAGAATGCTTGAAGATATATATGCAAATATGCTACGGCGAGTTTTTAAGGAATATGAATGTATAAAAATAGTGCAGGGAAAAATTGGGAATCAGCATACGATAACGGAATGGATACAAGTAGTTTCCAAAATTTGAGGAACCCAAGTAGAGAATGAAGAAAGAAAAGGACATCGGCATTATCCGATTTTTCAATGCCACACACAAAAGTAAGCAGAAACCAGGGGGTATCATTAAATTGAAAACCAGAATACCGAAATCCCAGCCCACTAGAACGCCAACGAACAAAGCTCACTTCAACACCTTCAAGCTTCTTAGGGATATTGTTTGTTTGCTGCAACATTAAAAACAATATGTTTTGAATATTGAAAGGGGAAGGACAACCGTGAAACAGACGGGAATTGGGAATTTTTGTTTTTTGCAGTGGCAACCTGATTTTCCACATTACAACGAAATGGAATCAATCAATCCCCTTCAGGCAAATCTTCAAAGATTGTAATCCCCATTTCTCGTAATTTGCGTTTATCATCAGTTTTGAGAGGAACTCTTTCGAAGTTTTCAGGAAGTTGTTGGCCGGTTCTAAATGAAAAAGAGTGTTCATAGATTAGCATTGGAGAATGTAGTTCGAGCCGCTGGATTTTTTAAAAAACAAGACAGCAGAGCTTACTTGTAGAAATCAACAGCCATTTGTCTCGCTTTATCTTTCAGATTCACCTGATCTCGAATGCTCAACTGCGGGTTCTCCAGGCTGTCATCAACTTGTTTGATTTTCGCCCACTTAGGTCCGTGTCTGACAATCAAGAGCTTAAGCTGATTACACTCATCCACGGACCATGGGATCCTACCACCACCAGGCTTCCGCACCCGTCGGCTAATTTCAGGAGCAGTGCTGGCTGGAGTTTTACTCTCAACGGCGTTCATAAGCTCTAGTGACCTTGACGCTACGCGACTACCTCGTCGGCCTCCAAGGCTTTGTGGTTGTCTTGGAGGCGTGGCCAATGGGCGGGATTGTGTCCTAGGAGATGATGTTCCAATTCGTCGTCGCTTCCGATGAACCTGCAGTGCCGCAATGGATTTCCGGTTTTTCTCAACCCGGGTACTTCGGGTGCCTGTTTCGAAGCTTTCCTCGTCAGATGGCTGGATAGTTTCCTTCTCCTGCCCTTCGTTTGGCTCTACTTCGGAGGCCTGTCGTTTCCGGGAACGGTCATTCAAGCGGCTTCTGCCAGATGATGATTGGCTGGAACCAACCGGGGATAATCTGTGAGCATCAGCTTGTCGATCAATAAAAGCCACCGGCGGTGTCTTGAAACTTTGTCTTTGCCGTTGAGAAAAAATTGCAAGTCGTTGCCGTTCAGCTATCTTGACGATTTCGGATGGTGATGGGCGGGGCGATACATTCTTCAGTGGTTGTCCTGTTCGCTGTCCTGGGCTAACGTCTTGCTTCAATTTCCGAACGCTAGCGTTTTGAGATTCGTTAGGCCTTCTGGGGAATTCTCCGCTGTCGCTGACCTGTGGAGTCGTATCACCAGCCGTTGCAACGATTTCTGTTTGTGGACTTTCCGAAGGTTGATCAACCCCTACACTACTGGGAACCTGAGCAGAGCCAGCCACAGAAGAACCAACCCGGGCCTGAAGATTCACCAAGTGAGATATAAGGGCCTTAGACTTGAAAATCCTATTAAAATTAAATTCCAGTGAGCGCTCTGGAGCTTCCAGTTGCGATGATAAATTAGAGGGGGAGGTTGTAATGATAATGTGATAGATAGCGGTTTTGCTGCATAAAATACACAAGACTTACTCTTTTCCAACAGAGAACATTGACTTCCTGGTAATCGCGGATCTCGTATCTTGCGGTTTCTGAACATCGGCCTTTTCGGCGGCTACCTTGTCGGCGGCCGAAGTGGCCGGATTTGTCGATTCGTGAATGGACGAGATACCTTGTTGATCGAGGCTTGACCTGCGATCAGCTTCGGTTTGTAATGCCTCAACTCCTTCGTCAAGAGATGCTTGGCTTCTCAATTGCTCATCAATTTCATTTGCCCTCATGTGGATCCACTTGCATGCTTGGGCAACGAACTCCGACCAAGGAAACAAAGATTCCAGTTTGTCACAGTGAGCGAACGTGCTGGTCTCATCCTCGTCAAAACACTTTCGAATCGACTCCATCCGCTCAAAAACTTCATCATGGAACTCCTCGGGGATGCTGCCCCACTCATCCTGTAGGCCATTAATTCCCCAGCCTAGTAACCTTTCAAACTTGTCACCATTTTTCACGAACGAGGTGAAAACAGTTTCCAGTACTACATCCGGAGCAAATTCAACACCGGGATCTTTCCCCCCTGATCGGAGTTCCGCAATGACACGTTGGGTGCGGATTTCTAAACCCAATTGAAATGTTTCTGCTAGGAGACCGCTTCGCCCTGGTTTTATAAGTTGATCATCTCCTGGAGGGGAGAAGGAACTCAAGAAGGATTTCGGAAATGATTCGTCAAGGTATGAAAGGTGATAGTCCGAGAAAGGACCAATGTTCTCACGCAAAGGGATAAGATCGAATGCAAACTGGGCAAGGTTGGCTTTCTGAAGGAATTCATCCGGATGCCATGGAATGTGTTTCAGGGATGGAAATATGTTTACTATAGCCTGGACGATGATGAAATGCTGGCCGCCAAAGTACTTCTGCTGGGTTTCAAAGGTCTCCCGTATACGTCTGATCCTTGCTCTAAAGGTAGCGTTTTTAAGACTCCTAAGAATAGTGGTAAGGGAAAAGGCCTGTGGAGTTAGTATTCGCAGAGCGTTCTTTGCAGAAGTATATAGGTCGGGCAATGCCTCGATCATGATACTGGGATCCAATTCTCGTGATTCATGTTCAGAATCAGTAGCGAGAAGGGTTGTCCCAGTAACATTGAAATGGTCAACAGGTGATTCAGGAACAGATCGTTCGCTGCGCCTCGAGGTTTGCCTCGTAAGGTTTGTATTAAAGCTGCCAGTGGCATTCGCAGGAGGGCTTTCAAAAACAGGTGACAACTCTAGCGGTGGAAAAATGTAAGTTACATCTTATTCCGTTCAAAAGTAGACAGATATTCTTAATCCCAAGCCTTCCAGGTAAGGCCACGACGGCAACATGTTCAAGACCAATCTCATTCACTGGTCAATCTTGGAAAAAGCCATAGTCTGAACGAGCTGCTATGAGGTTTAACGAGAATGTAAGAGACAAAACTAACCATTGTTGCCAGACTTCGACCGTAACTTTTCACCTCGATTGCTCCTAGTTGGAGTATAGGACGGTTCGTTCTCAAAATTACCCGCGCTCACCGAAGTGACAACAGATTTCGAGGGAGAAGCAGGCGCATCATCTCTACTGCGACTCCGTGTTTGTCGAGTGGAGCGACGCAAGTTTGGTGGTTGTTTGGGTTCGCTTTTTCGCTGGGCGCGATCTGATCTTGCTCGAGCAGTGGCTGGCATCTTCCACGAGCTAGCAACGGCTTAATTCCGATGACTGAGGCTATCAAAGCAATGAGTACTAATGCCAAAGAGGATGAGATGATATTCGTGTGTTGATGGCGAGTTTTCGAGACGCGTTCACATGGAATAAACCCTAAGCTAACCCCAACGGGTAACCCTAAGCAACCCTAACCCTAACCCTAGAATTGGGGAACAGCCCTGCGACCATCGATGTACGGTGACAAGAAGACGAGGATGTGCCTCGAGTGTCCGGGGGCTGGGTTGCTATCCTAAATTTGGTAGTCTATATCAAATGACTACGGATAAATTGTATTACAATTGAAGGCATTAACTACAGATATTTTTATAAGCTTAGCATATTTAGCTGAAGGACATTTAAGCCCATCTAAAATACACTCATTTTCTACTCTGTCCACATCACAGATATTAGGAACAACACACCTTTGAATGATCTGTGGTTTGCTCGTGTATTAACTCGCTTCAATCGTAATTTTTAATCCTAACTATACCACCTCTAACCCGTGTACAATGAACTAGATAAGAAGGTGTATACTATTCCTGTTCTAGTTAATTTAACTAGTTAAATAGTGTGCATTAGTAATATCCACCAACGTTTGAAGCTTCAACGTCAACGTTCCTCGATCCGCGCCCCGGACTTGCTCCTATCAACAGGGCGTTTTTGTTTTGAAGCCTTACTGATAGCATATATGACATTCTTTTCCACCGCTGTTTTTGTTCTGTTTATTATTGTTGATGAGATTGCGTTTGTTCCTTTTCGGAGGTCCTCCTTAAAAAATACATCTTTCTTCAACACGAGTTCTGAACCTCGACGCCTATAATATCTCGCCTTCTAATTCTCGATTTAACGGTTGTTGGTTGCCATTGTCGTCCGAGTGGATTCGGCACCTCTCTTGCTGCTGTTTAATAATTTAGTGCCTAGGGCCCCATTTCATCCTCTGTATATACAAATTACCATCATGAGGATCACATTATTCCCCTCTCCCTTCCTCCTCCTTGCCATCCCAGGCATCACGTCCACCTTGGCCAATCCATTACCAGACTCCAAACTGCTTCCTAATTCGAAACCGCTGGCTATCAATGATGTCGGCATCCGCGATTCCTCACTTTCGCTCCATCCTCCGGATAAAAGATCGCCGAAAGCTAGACCACTTGCTGATGTACCATTTGATGGGAAGGACGGGAAACCACACGCAGGACCTTGGGTTGAGACGAGTGCAGGCCGGGATCGTAAAAAAGCGAAAGAATCCTTGGATGAGCAGGTGTTGAAACCCGATTCGACTGATCCCACATCAGAACATTTTGGACCAGATGGAAAACCAATTCCCACTTCAAATGATGGGGTGATGGATGATCCGCACCGGGAAACGCCAAAGGAGGGAACAACGGGAACAGGGGGCGGAGTCTCGGAGAAAACCAAGGCATCCAGCCCTGGGGCTGCAAAGATGCCAGATCCACCCAAGGACGTCCCCCCATTACCGCACAGCGAGCAGCAGAAGATTGGACATGACGAGTCTGAAATGGAGGCAGAAGGCGATGTTTCGGACAATACAATGCTAGAGGTAAGGAGTGAGAAGTCTGAGCGATCAATACATATGCTAATTTTGTTCCCCTCGCCGTGAATAGAAACCACAAGATCTCCCGGAGTCACCACATAGTGTCCCCCCGCCCACTCATCCTGGCAGTCCTAGTGATGATCCTCTTGATTTTGGCTATCGGGGTTCTCCATTAGACCAAACTCATGGCAAAGGTTCGGAAAGGTCTAAGGATGCTATGCAGCCAGTTCATTCGTTCTTCCTTTCCCTCACCATGATCCTTGTTTCAGAAGTGGGAGATAAAACATTCCTTGTAGCGGCTCTTATGGCTATGCGCCATCCACGCATGATTGTCTTTTCGGCAGCTTTCACTGCTCTCATCGCAATGACAGTACTATCCGCTATACTTGGCCATGCTGTCCCTACCTTCATTTCGAAATCATTCACCAACATTTTAGCTGCGACTCTTTTTCTCATTTTTGGCTTGAAGATGGCCGTCGAAGCGAAGAAGATGGCACCTGATGAAGGTGTGGGTGAGGAGATGAAAGAGGTCGAGATGGAGCTGGAAGAGAAGGAACATCAGCAACGACGACTGGTCCGGCGGCGATCTATTAGCCCCTATGCACTCGAAGCTGGTCATGGCCCACGTAAAAGCCGTTCCTCGAACCACCGCCTCCCATCACCTGAAAGCAGTTCATCATTGTCATCTCGAGGCAGTTCTCCGTCCCGTGGTACCTCTCTATCAAACATGGTGGTTGGTGTAAACAATTTGTGCTCGCTTCTACTGAGCCCCGCATGGGTCCAGACGTTTGTCATGACCTTTCTCGGAGAATGGGGTGATCGAAGCCAGTTTGCTACCATTGCCATGGCTGCCGGCCAGGATTACTGGTGGGTTATGTGTGGTGCAGTTACGGGTCATGGAATCTGTACAACAGCGGCAGTAATGGGGGGGCGGGCAATCGCTGGAAGAGTTAGCATGCGGGTTGGTAAGTATCATATCACATCTGTTAAAACACAACCATGCCGCTTGTAAAGACTAATAACGGTGCTCTTTTGTTTTTTTAACAGTTACTTTTGGCGGTGCTGTAGCGTTTTTGATTTTCGGCATTATATATTTCTTCGAAGCTCTCCGTTAATTTTATATCGACCGTCGCGCATGCCTCATGTTATCGAGCCCACGGCAGATACAATTTATATTCTTCATTGTTTCTATTAAAAACGCCCTTTACACCTCGAAACTTGAAACGACCATACGGCATAAAATGAACGCGGTTGCATCTGCTATATTTTGGCGTCCTTGGATTACAGTTGCGCATTCCCCTTAATACATTTTTTTCTTTCCCCTTTTGTGGTACGCTTCTAATACTTCAGGTGTTTTGTTTTGACCTTAATTTTTTCTTCCTTGTATTATTTCCGCGGTGATGCACGGCCAACTTGGACTTTCTTGGCTGTCTATATTTACTTTCTTCTTTCTTTCTTGCTTCCTTTGGGCTCGTGAAAAAGAATCCCTTTATAGATTTCTTGCTTCCATATCCCTCCAACGGAGAATAAGCAAGTTTTCATCTGACATCTAGATGGGACTCTGCTATTTTGACTGTAATCAACTCACATGATGGTGTGGCCTATTTTTCTTCCTCGCCTTCTTGCAAGGGTATATTATTTATCCCATTTTAATATAGCTATTTATTTTTCCTTTTTGGTCTTTGCTTGCAAATATTTTCTCCCTTGTTTGAAAAAAGATGCTCCATGGCAGCCCATTTCTTTCTCTATTTCTTCTGCTATGAAAATATCCTATGTCTTGTAATATACATTCATGCCATACAAATGGCCGGTATCTATGACAAAAGTCATCATCAACAATTGTCTAGTGCGCGGTGTTGTTGCAGGACAAAATTATTATACCTCTATGGTATTCTTTCACTCCTCTTATAATGTTTGCCAAGTTATCCTCATTGGTTGAGGTTTGTTCTCTTTGTGTTCCCAAAGCAATCAGAGGTTCTTGGTTTTCAAAGCAACATAAGTGAGTATAGAAACCGCCCAATTTCTTGCAGGTTGTTCACTGTGCATTTTCCTTGAATACTCTCACTTGCACACAAGAGCATTTCCTGCCCGAGAGCGTGATTAAATCCTTCCATCCAAGCACCATTTCAATCATGACACTCCTAGTTTCATTTCTAAAATCATACTCAGCACTCATCAACACAGTCCCTCTGTTGTTGTGTTGTTTTGTTTACACCTGCTTCAAGCTGCATGCCTGGTTTATGACCTACGACGTGTGTCAACCTTCTACTTCGGCCAATGCACGTCGGATATCATTTTTACCCACAGTCAATCAAGGGAATCGCGTACAAAACACAAGTTGAAAAGGAGAAGCTCGTCGAGTTACAATCGACTCCAACGAAGGAAAAGAAGAGCCTTGCGCAGGTGCCTTGAGAACAGAGACAAAAGAAGTCCAAAAGGAAGAGGAGACACGATGCCAAAACCTCCTTTCTTCAAGCGCCGCCGCCGATCAACCCCAAACCCAGCCAAGATAGACGAAGACAAAATCCTGGACACCGAAATCACCCAAGTAACCCGAGACCGCAAGCGTGAGACAGCAATCACTTTCAACGTGTTCTATGGGAAACCTGATCTGTCCCGCAAGCTCCTTAAGCACGTCGCTTTCACTGACAATGCTGCCATACACACGGAATTCTTCGAACAGTGTGGCAGACCCGTGCTGGTGCAGGCTGGGAAAAAGAACGGTAAAGGCAAAGGCGAAGGGAAGGGGAAGGGGAAGGGGAAGGGAAAGGGAAAATCCGAAATGAATCATGCTTCTCATCCAAGCCAAAGTGTGGAAAGCGGGTTGCCGCAGTTTCAAGAGTTGGCATATTTGGCTGCGGGTTTCAATGAGGAGGTTTTGAAGTTGTGTGACGGGGGTTGTGCTGGATGTGGCAGCAGTAGTGGCGAAGGAACCGATGGTTATGGAGGCAAAGGGAAAGGAAAGGCACGTGAGGTGGGTGCTATGGTGTATCGTCCACTTTGTTGTTCGTTGGATGGTTATGAGATGTTAAAGGATGGGGTGTGGATGCGTAGGCTTATGATGGCTATTGCGCGTTTGGTAGAGGAATTTGAGACGTATGAGATGGCTAAGAAGGCTATTGGTATTGTGGAGAAAACTGAAAGCATGAGTGATAAGGAGATGCATCCCTTTGTGAATATGCTGGCGGTGCCTGTCTGCGAACCGGATGGGGAGTGTCAGAACGTCGTGGAGAAGGCTATCGACTCATTTGTGCAGGGAATTCTGAAAGGTTTGGAAAATGGTCAAAGGAGATATAGTGCTAAGTTCCTATCATCCAAAAGCGCAGCGATTGACTACAGTGTCTGGGAGGATGACATGGATCGGAGTGACGGCGATACCGAGGACAACGACGATGATACTGACGATGATACAGAGTACGTGCAAGCCTCCCCGAAGAAACGCGATAGAGCTTCTCTTTAACGTCATATGAGTTTGGAGAACATGCAACCAGTTCGTCTTGTCGTG